CAAGCACAAGGACTTCAAGGCCGAAGGCGGCGCCTCCTCTTCCTCCTCCTCCTCCTCCTCTTCCTCCTCCCAGCCGAAAAAGGCGGAGGGCAGCGTGGGGGTGCAAGCGGGGGCCCCCCCGTACCCCAGCCCGGCCGTGCCCCCCCCGCCGCAGCCCCTCTTTGAGGCCGCCGGCGCCTTCAACGCGCCCCAGTGGGGCATCGTGGACCTCTCCAGCCACCAGCACCTCTTTGGGGGGCTGAAACGGGGTGGGACGGTCGCGGTGACGACGGGGACAGCAGCGGTGGTGGGGACCCCGGCGGCCCCCCCGGCCCCCCCGGAGGCAGCGTCGAAGGAGGAGAAGAGTTATTTCCGCCGGCTGAAGTATTTCATGGAGCGGCGCTTTCCCTGCGGCGTCTGCCAGAAGTCCTTCAAGCAGTCGTCCCACCTGGTGCAGCACATGCTGGTGCACAGCGGCGAGCGGCCCTACGAATGCGGCACCTGCGGCCGCACCTATAACCACGTCTCCAGCCTCATCCGCCACCGACGCTGCCACAAGGAAACTGCCGAGGACGGCGGCGCTGCCGGCGTCACCCCCGCGGCAGTGGCCACCACCTCCGGGGTCATGCCGGCACCCAACGGGGCCGGTGGGGTCTTGCCGGCACCCAACGGAGTCAACCCGTTGGCGAGCGGGGTCAACGCGGCGCCCAACGGAGTCAACGCGGCACCCAACGGGGTCAGCCTAGCGGCGAGCGGGGTCATGCCGGCGCCCAACGGGGTCAACGTGGCACCCAACGGGGTCAACGCGGCGCCTAACGGGGTCAACGCGGCGCTGAGCGGCGTCATCCCGGCACCCAGCGGCGTCATCCCGGCGCCCGGCGGGGTCATCCTGGCACCGAGCGGGGTCATCCCGGCGCCCGGCGGGGTCACTTTGGCGCCCGGCAGTGCCGCCCCAGCACCCAGCGGCACTGCCCCGGACGGCCCCTTCACCTGCTCGCTGTGCTGGAAAGTCTTCAAGAAGCCGAGCCACCTCCACCAGCACCAGATCATCCACACCGGCGAGAAGCCCTTCAGCTGCTCGGTGTGTGCCAAGAGCTTCAACCGGCGCGAGAGCCTCACCCGCCACGTCAAGACGCACTCGGGGCTGCTGCGGGTGCCCTGCGCCGTCTGCGGGAAGGAGTTTCGGGATCCAGCGTACCTGCTGCGGCACCAAGCCGCCCACAGCGGCCAGCGCCCCGACTACAAGTGCGAGGTCTGTGGCAAAGCCTATGCCGCCCCGCAGAGCCTGCTGCGGCACCGGCAGGTCCACGCCGGCCCCAAGGCCGGCGCGGTGGCGTACCCCGGCGTCCCCAAGGGAACGGCGGCGGCGGTGCCCGTGTTCCCCAGTGCCTATGTGGCACCGGAGGGGGAGGTGAAGGCGGCCGACGGTGCCGGGGGCTTCTTATCCCCCCCGCCGGCCGCGTTGCTGGCGCCGGGGAAGAGTTTCGGCTGCGGCATCTGCGGGCGGGCGTTTGGCCGTCGAGAGACGCTGAAGCGGCACGAGCGGATCCACACCGGGGAGAAGCCGCACCAGTGCGCCGTCTGTGGCAAGCGCTTCCGTGAGTCCTTCCACCTCAGCAAGCACCACGTGGTGCACACCCGCGAGCGGCCCTACAAGTGCGAGCTCTGCGGCAAAGCCTTCGGCTACCCCCAGAGCCTGACCCGGCACAAGCAGATCCACCGGCTGCCCTTGCCCTGCGGGTTGGGGGGTGCCGGGACCCCCCCCGAGGGGCTGAGCTACGGCTGCGGCGAATGCGGCGAGCGTTTCCCCGACCTCTTCCGCGCGGTCAACCACAAGGAAGCCCACGCCGGGGAGAAACCCTACGGCTGCGACGCCTGCGGCAAAGCTTTCGGCTTCATCGAGAACCTGATGTGGCACAAGCTGGTTCACCAGGCCGCCCCCGAGCGGCTGCTGCCCGAGGGGGGGCCACCGGCCGAGAGCGGGCTGCAGCCCCCCGAGGAGCACCCGGTAGTGCCGAGCGGCGAGCGTTTCACCTGTGGCACCTGCGGGCAGAGCTTCAAGCATTTCTTGGGGCTGGTGACCCACAAGTACGTCCACCTGGTGCGGCGGACGCTGGCCTGCGGCGTCTGCGGGCAAAGCTTCGCCGGCGCCTACGACCTGCTGCTGCACCGGCGCCGGCACCTGCAGAAACGCCATTTTGGTTGCTCGGTTTGCGGGAAGCGGTTTTGGGAAGCGGCGTTGCTGATGCGGCACCAGCGTTGCCACACCGAGGAACGGCCTTACCGCTGCGCCGTCTGCGGCCGCGGCTTCCTGCGCTCCTGGTACCTGCGGCAGCACAAGGTGGTGCACACCGGCGAGCGCGCCTACAAGTGTGCCCTCTGCAACAAGCGCTTCGCCCAATCCTCTAGCCTGGCCGAGCACCAGCGCCTCCACGTCGTCGCCCGCCCCCAACGTTGCCAAACCTGCGGCAAGACCTTCCGTTACCGTTCCAACCTCCTGGAACACCGGCGCGTTCACCTGGGCGAGAAGGTTTACCGCTGCGAGCTTTGCGGCAAGAGCTTCTTCTACCTGTCCTCCATTCTGCGGCACCAGCGCTCGCACGACGCCCGCCGCGACCTGCGCTGCTCCGCCTGCCTCAAGCTCTTCAAGGACCCCAAGTACTTCAGCAAACACCTGCAGACCCACCAGGGCGGCCGCCCCTTCAAGTGCAGCACCTGCGGCGAAGCCTTCCGGAACACCTACGGACTCAAGAAGCACCGGCACGGCCACAAGCTCGAGCGCCTGGCCGCCCTGGCACACAAGGACGCCTGAGGACGGTGCGCGGCGGCAGCGGTGGGCGCCCGATGGGACGGGGAGGTGGTGGTGG